GGCTCCCGCCACAACGCCTGGCTATTTTTTTTGGTTGCAGCCATCATTGTTGTTTGGCGGGTCCGGGCTGGGGATTCGAACCCGCCACCTTGGGTGTACGTGGCTGGCGCCTTAGCTGGTTGAGCTATAGGTGCCGAGCAGTATTCATCTCTTAAGGTTAAAAGGGTAATGTATTAAAATTAGACAATGCATTTTTTTTTTTTTTGAGACAGTCTCACAATGTTGTTCTTGGTAGAGTGCTATGGCGTCACAGCTCACAACAACCTCAAACTGTTAGGCTTAAGCGATTCTCTTGACTCAGCCTCCCAAATAACTGGGACTACAGCTGCCTGCCACAATGGCCGGCTATTTTTTGGTTGTAGTTGTCATTGTTGTTTGGCAGGCCTGGGCTGAGTTCGAACCCGACAGCTCTAGTGTATGTGACTGGTGCCCTAGCTGCTGAGTTACAGGCACTGAGCCAATACTTACTATTTTTATGAACAGCTTCTGGGCACCTCTAACCTCACATAAACTCCATTGATGGTGGGGTTTCTTCTGGCTAGACAGAGTGTTGGGGAGTGTGTGGTGTCCTAGCTGGCCCTCACTGTGTCCTCTAGGCTCTTCCCCTTTTTCCTGGTTCCGGGGCCTGGAGGACGATGCTGTGGCTGCAGAACTTGGGCTGGACTTTCAGAGATTCCTGACCTTGAACCGGACCTTGCTAGTGGCTGCCCGGTAAACTGACCGTGGCACCATTGTGGGGCAGAAATGCATGCTCCTGGGCAGACACGGGACCTGCATGGCCACTGCAGCTCCTGCAGGGGACAAATGCAGGTGCACAAACCATGGGACATGGCCATGCTGGGACCCAGAGCACAGATGCCAAGGCGTGGCATGGGGATGGAGGGTAGGGGCCAGGAGGTCTGTACTGTTGGCCTCTGAACAGCTGACTGTGGGTCAGGTGGAATGGTTGGCTTGGCTCTGACTCCTCCTTACCTGCCCCTTCAGGGATCATGTTTTCTCCTTCGATCTTCAAGCCCAAGAAGAAGGAGAGGGGCTGGTACCCAGCAAGGTGAGGGGCTGTGTGGGAGGAGGTACAGGCACGGAGGTGAGGCCAGGGGAAATCTGATAGGGGTTGAGTGGCTGGGAAGAAGGACCCAAAAGGAGCTGCAATGAGGAAAGATTCAAGGCCCCGTGATTTTCCCTCTTCTCCTCCCCCTTCAGTATCTAACATGGAGGAGCCAAGACGTGGAGAACTGTGCTGTCCGGGGGAAGCTGACGGTGAGGAGTGGGATGAGAATTGGAGGGAAGGAGGGTTACCTTGCCTCCAGGCTCTGTCCAGCTGGTCCTCTACCGTGCCCAATTTCCTTCTCACTTTTCTCATCCTAGGCCATAGAGGAAAATGGGAAGGAAAGGGGATTGATGATTTTCAGTTTCCTTTATATGCCTCACAGAAAAGAAAAGTAAGGCTCAGAGAAGCCATAGGACTCAGCTAAGGCCACAGGGCTAGCAAATAGCTCCCTGGACTTTATCCCACGTTGTTTTGACTGGCTCAAGAGGAGTAGCCTTCCTTCATGTTAGTTTCTAGTCCCAGTCCCAAAGAGCCTGTCACTGACCTAGAACTTTGGGTTCTCTAGGATGAGTGCTACAACTACATTCGTGTTCTTGTTCCCTGGGACTCCCAGACACTACTTGCCTGTGGAACAAACTCATTCAGCCCCGTGTGCCGCATCTATGGGGTACAAAGGAGAGGGTGGTGGTCAAAATGGGAGCTGGCGGGGAACCCATGAAGGGCAATGAATTTGATGGGAAGGGGTCAGGAACTGGGGTCGGGGAATGGGAGTGCCCAGAATGCAGGGGTCCAGGAGGCACTGGGGAAGGAGACCAGGGGACATGAGACCTGGGCTGTGGAGCCAGATTCCAAGACCTTCAGGGTTCCAGGAACCTCTTCCCTCTGCCCCCAGATAACTTCGCTGCAGCAGGAGGGTGAAGAGCTGAGCGGGCAGGCTCGATGCCCCTTTGATGCCACCCAGTCCAACGTGGCCATCTTTGCAGGTGTGCTCGGTCATGTGAGAAGCAGGCATATGGCTAGAGGGAGCCTTAGCTTCTCTCCCGGCTTGGTCTTCTTCCCATTCTCCTTAGTGGAGGGTTGGTGTAGGGGCCAGGGCCAGGCCTAGGTAGCAGTGTGAGAGGCAGATACAGATGCCTGAGCTCTCCTCTGACCCCATCCTCCTTGTCCCTCCAGAGGGAAGTCTGTATTCAGCAACAGCCGCAGACTTCCAGGCCAGTGATGCTGTAGTTTACCGAAGCCTTGGGCCTCAGCCCCCACTCCGCTCCGCCAAGTATGACTCCAAGTGGCTTCGAGGTCAGGGCAGGTCTGGTGGAGGAAGACTGTCCTTGGGGACAAGGTGCTGAGGGAGGAACATGGTGGGAGCAGGCAGGTGGAGTGGCTGTATGTGTGTGTGTGCACATGGTGGGGAGAGGCGGCCCAGATGCCATACCCTTTCCTGTCACTTTCACTTCAGAGCCACACTTTGTCCATGCCTTGGAGCATGGAGACCATGTCTACTTCTTCTTCCGAGAGGTCTCTGTCGAGGACGCCCGGCTGGGCAGGGTAAGGATGTGGCACCAGGAGTGGGTAGCTTGAGGGCTCTGCTGGATCCAGAGAGTCCAGTCAGAGTGGGAAGAAAGCTCCTGGTCCTAATCTTCACAACACAGCCCCTCACTTGGAATAGCCCCTGGTGCTCTGCCCCCACATCCTGCTATGTCCCTCATCTTTTTTTTTTTTTTTTGAGTCTCAAGCTGTTGCACCCAGGGTAGAGTGCTGTGGGGTCACAGGTCACAGCAATCTCAAACACCTGGGCTTAAGCAATTCTCTTGTCTCAGCCTCCCCAGTAGCTGGGACTATAGGCACCCACCACAACACCCGGCTATATTTTGTTACAGTTGTCATTGTTGTTTAGCTGGCCTGGGATGGGTTCAAACCCACCAGCCCTGGTGTATGTGGCTGGCGCCAGCACCACTGAACTACAGTTGTTGAGCCATGTGTCCTTCATCCTTTACCCAAGTTGACCTGCTCCACCATGCCCTTAACTTGCTGTGACCTTCACATCCGGCTAGACACATTCCTTTTACCCAGCCAGTGCTGTAGCTCTCACTGTTTCTTCCCCCATCTCTTCCCCCAGGTGCAGTTCTCCCGCGTTGCCCGAGTCTGTAAACGTGACATGGGTGGCTCACCTCGGGCCTTGGACCGCCATTGGACGTCCTTCCTAAAGCTGCGGCTTAACTGCTCTGTCCCTGGAGACTCTACCTTCTACTTTGATGTCTTACAGGCCTTGACCGGGCCTGTGAATCTTCATGGCCGTTCTGCCCTCTTTGGGGTCTTCACCACGCAGACCAATAGGTTGGTCAATGACTTTTGTGACCTGATCTGTCCCCTCCTTCAGCATCCAAACTGTCCTCCCAACACACTGAAGGGGCAGTGAGGAGGAAGCTCTAAACAACCAGTCTGGGGGTCTGCCCATTTTCTTTTCTCTTTGCATGGCACCCAATGGCAGCCCCACCCTTCAGTTTCTACCTTGTAACATGCACGAAGGACAGCCGCATTTCTTTCCTGGGAGTTCTGTGTTCCAGCCAATACCTATCCCACATTTTTTTCCGGCTCCCTCAGCATCCCTGGGTCTGCAGTCTGTGCCTTCTATTTGGATGATATTGAGCGTGGATTTGAGGGCAAGTTCAAGGAGCAGAGGAGTCTGGATGGGGCCTGGACCCCTGTATCTGAGGACAGGGTCCCCTCACCCAGGTACCCAGGATGGGGGTGGCTGTTGTGGGGACAGAAGCAAGAGGTGTCTGTTCGCGAGCTGGGATTGTGAGGAGGGGTAAGATGTCCCAGGCCTGGGGAAGGAGCTGTACTGGGTTAGCAGTGGGGCTGCCAGGCTATAATGGGGCAGGGTAGCAGTGGCCTTGGTGTCTGTGTGGAGGGGCAAGGCCTACCAGTCATTCCTGGAAGCAGCAAGGGGGCATGTTGCTGAACTAAGCATGGGCTACCTCCCTAAGCCAGCCCCTTCTCATGCCCACCAGGCCGGGGTCCTGTGCAGGAGTAGGGGGAGCTGCCTTGTTCTCTTCTTCTCGAGACCTCCCTGATGATGTCCTGACCTTCATCAAGGCTCACCCACTGCTGGATCCCGCTGTGCCAGCTGCCACCCATCAGCCTCTTCTCACTCTCACTAGCAGGTATGAGCTAAAAAATACTAACCACCATCCTCTGGCCCTAAGTCACTGTCCGCTTCCTCCCTCCTCCCAAGGTAGGGCACACTGATCAGAGGAAGAACTGTGAAGGTAGAAGGAAGACAGTTAAGAAAGCAACCCTGGGCTCGGCGCCTGTGGCTCAAGTGGCTAAGGCGCCAGCCACATACACCTAAGGTGGCAGGTTCGAATCCAGCCTGGGCCTACCAAAACAACAATGACGGCTGCAACCAAAAAATAGCCGGGCGTTGTGGTGGGCACCTGTGGTCCCAGCTATTTGGGAGGCTGAGGCAGGAGACTCACTTAAGCCCAGGAGTTGGAGGTTGCTGTGAGCTGTGTACCCAGGGGGACAGCTTGAGACTCTGTCTAAAAAAAAAAAAAGAAAGCAACCCTGGAGTGTGGGGGTAGGGTGCAGGTGTGGGTACCAGGACACCTGGGCTCTCCTTGAAATGTTCAGGCTTCCACAAGACAGGTCACCCTGACCATAGGCCTGTTGTTTTAGGGCCCTACTGACCCAGGTAGCTGTGGATGGCATGGCTGGTCCCCACAGTAACAGCACAGTCATGTTCCTTGGCTCCAACGATGGGACAGTGCTGAAGGTGCTGCCCCCAGGTGGGCGACCTGGGGGGCCTGAACCCATCCTATTGGAAGAAATTGATGCCTACAGCCCCTCTAGGTGAGGCCCTTGGAGGGCAGGCCCCCTGCAGAACAGGGGTGAGGTGGGATGTGGCAGATGGGGACGTAGGAATGGGTTGGACATTCCAGTGTTGGCTTTAAGCGGCAGGAGCTCTGGGGCAGAGAGGCTTGGTGAGAAGACTCGGACGCTTTGGGAGTGTGCTCAGTTGCTTGTGTACCGCCCCATTCTCTGTTCTTCAAGTCACCAGGGATATAGTAGCCTCCCCTGTTCCATCTCTGATTCCTTATGGCCTTACCCTAGGTGCAGTGGGAAACGGGCAGCCCAAACAGCACGACAGATCATAGGGCTGGAGCTGGACACTGAGAGTCACAGGCTCTTTGTGGCTTTCTCTGGTTGTATCGTCTACCTCCCTCTCAGCCGATGTGGCCGGCATGGGGCCTGTCAGAGGTGAGAGGGGCCTGAGGACCACCTCTGCCTGGGCCAACCGGGAGCACAGAAACATGGGTCTCAGAGGTGGCAGGGGAAGTGTAGGGGATGGTTGAAGATGGGCAGCAACCTGAGCCTGGTGTAGAGATCAGAGTGGGTGAGATAAGAATATGGGGCTGGGGTCCTCCTGTAAGCCAGGGTGAGAATAGACGAGGCAGCAGAATGGAGTGTGACTGGAGTGGAGGAGACCCCAGTCTCATGTGACTCAGTTTTCCCTAGGAGCTGTTTGGCCTCTCAGGACCCATATTGTGGCTGGCATAGTTCCAGAGGCTGTGTGGATATCAGGAGACCTGGTGGGTAAGTGAGAGGCCTCTGGATCTTCAGAGGATAAAATGTCTCACCACTAAGAAAGGAACCTAAGGCCCAAGGTGAGAGATGGGGCAAAATGTCTAACTTCACTGGGCTACTTCCTTTTCTCCTAGGACTGATATGGATCTGGCTGGGAACCAGGAATCTATGGATCACGGTAACTGCCAAGGTAAACAGAAGGGGTGGCTGCATGCAGCTTGCAGCCAGGACTGCACATGGCCATGATGGCACACACAACATCCCAGATGTGGGCTTTTTTTTTTTTTTTTTTGAGATGGAGCCTCAAGCTATCCCCCTGGGTAGAGTACCATGGCATCACACTCACAGCAACCTCCAACTCCTGGCCTCAAGCGAGTCTCCTGCCTCAGCCTCCCAAGTAGCTGGGACTACAGGTGCCCGCCACAACGCCTGGCCATTTTTTGGTTGCAGCTGTCATTGTTGTTTGGCGGGCCTGGGCTGGGGATTCGAACCCGCCACCTTAGGTGTATGTGGCTGGCGCCTTAGCCGCTTGAGCCACAGGTGCCGAGCCCAGATGTGGGCTTTTGTCTTTCTTTCCTTCTGTGGCACAGTCACCCCCATCAGTTTCTTTCTTTTTTTTGGGGAACAGAGTAGAGACATTTTGTTGCCTTTGGTAGAGAGCTGTGGCCTCATAGCTCACAGCAACCTCAAATTCTTGGGCTCAAGTGATCCCCTTGTCTCAGCCTCCCAAGAAGCTAGGACTATAGGTGCCCACCACAATGCCTGGATAGTTTTAGAGGCAGGGTTTCGCTTTTGCCTAGTCTCCAGCTCATGAGCTCAGGCGATCCACCTCCTGAACTCATGAGTTCAGGTAATCCACTCACCTTGGCCTCCCAGAGTGCTAGGATTACAGTCGTGAGCCACCGTGCCTGGCCCACCCCCATCTTTACTCTTTCTTCTCTTCTTCATAGATGGAGCTACTGGGAGTCAGTCTGGCCACGGGGATTCTGCCTATGGTGAGTCTTCTTGTCTCAACCTCACCTTCCTGTGCTTAGCCCATACACTTGTCTGTGCCCTGTGGCAGCAGCAGAACAGCACCCTGAATACCCCAAGAGTCTCAGAAAACAGCAACATCCTCCAGACAGTCAGCATATAGCTCTGTGCTTGGCACACAGTAGAACACCTAAAACAGTTTTTGGTTTTTTTAGAGACAGAGTCTCACTTTATTGCCCTCGGTAGAGTGCCGTGGCATCACAGCTCACAGCAACCTCCATCTCCTGGGCTTAGGTAATTCTCTTGCCTCAGCCTCTCCAGTAGCTGGGAGTACAGGCGCCTGCCACAATGCCTGGCTATTTTTTTGTTGCAGTTTGGCCTGGGCCGGGTTTGAACCCACCACCCCTTGTATATGGGGCCGGCGCCCTACCCATTGAGCCACAGGCGCTGCCCACACCTAAAACAGTTTTTAAACAAAGAAATGAAAGAAAGCCTTGCATGGTGAGCCCTTCTCCAGGCCCAGAGGAAAGTAGGGGCTGGAATTCTGGACTCTTGGCTTCTAAAGGAGGGAGGAAGGACCCCTGGATGGGTGTCAGGGTGGAGATCAGGAGCTCACTGGCTCTGACCTGGTCTCTGTTACCAGTGCTTCTGGGTCCTGGCCCTTCCCCTGGGACCCCCAGTGCCCCCAGTGATGCCCACCCCTGGCCCCAGTCTTCCACTCTTGGAGCTCATACTCAGGGTAAGGGGTTACCTGGGAGGGACAGGAATGAGTGTGGGGCTGCTGATTCTTGGAGGATTCTATTGCCTCACTGAGTTTGGTGTTTGGTGCTCACTAATGCCTGTTTGGACCCCCTCCCCTGCTCCCGCACCGGTAGTTTGGCATTTGCTCTTGGCATGGCTACAGGGTCCAGAGCTGGGACAGGGACACCCAAGCTCTCACCTGTGTTGTGAGTGGTAGTGCAATGGATTGTGTTGAGGAGTGAGGGTGAGTGAATCCTGAGAGAGGGCAGGCTGCAGGAGTGAGGCCAAGTGGCTGCAGTTGAGTGGAACTCAAACCTGGGAAACTGCTGCCCAGTGAGTCTAGCCACTACTCCAGCTGAGCTCCTGTCCTTCTCACTGCAGGCGTGCGCCAGGACCTGTCCCCAGCCTTTGCCTCCCGCTCAGTACCCATCCCACTCCTCCTGGCCTGTATGGCAGCGGCCTTCGCCCTGGGGGCCTCCGTCTCAGGCCTCCTGGTTTCCTGTGCTTGTCGCCGCGCCCACCGACACCGGGGCAAGGACATCGAGACCCCGGGGCTGCCGCGCCCTCTCTCCCTTCGTAGCTTGGCCCGACTGCATGGTGGGGGCCCGGAGCTCCCGCCACCGTCCAAGGAGGGAGAAGCATCATCGCCGCAGCTCTACACCACTTTCCTGCCTCCCCCTGAGGGCGCACCCCCGCCAGAGCTGGCTTGCCTGCCCACCCCGGAGTCCACCCCGGAGCTGCCGGTCAAGCACCTGCGCATCGCCAGGGGTCCCTGGGAGTGGAACCAGAATGGGAACAACGCCAAGGAGGGCTCAGGCCGCTCGGGGGGCGGCCTTGCACCCCGCGTGCTGGTGAGGCCACCTCCCCCTGGCTGCCCCAGGCAAGCAGTGGAAGTCACCACTCTGGAGGAACTGTTACGCTACTTGCACGGCCCACAGCCGCCCAGGAAGGGCCCCGAGCCTCCGGCTGTGTCGGCCCCGCGGGAGCCGGCCTCCAGCCCCGTCTGCTTCCCCGCCAGCCCTCTGCCCCGGGAGTGTGCAGCGCCCCTGAGGCTGGACGTGCCGCCGGAGGGGACGTGCCCGGCTGCTCACGCCCGGCCCGCGCGCTCAGCCTCCGCTCCCCGGCTGGGGGTGGGGGGCAGCCGGAGGTTGCCCTTCCCCACGCACCGCGCGCCCCCCGCCCTGCTCACTCGCGTTCCCTCGGAAGGCTCTTCCAGGTACTCCGGGGGTCCTGGCAGGCACCTCCTGTACCCAGGCCGGGCCGAGGGGTACCGGGGCCGCGCCCTCAAGAGGGTGGACATCGAGAAGCCGCCGCTCGTCGGGCCCTCTTCCCGTTCCGCTGTCCCTAGCGGCAGCCATTTCAACCTCTAAGGGAGCTGCCCCACAGCCTGGATGGCGGCCACGGACACTTCTCCCAGGACAAGACACCTCCCCCTCTATACTGCACCTCCAGCCTTCCTGGACTCTGAGAGTCTCCTGAGGCCCCTTTTTGTCTCGGGTTTATTTATTGACTATTGTCTGTCCCCTGCCCTCACGAGAGAGGAGTGGGAGGCGAGTATAGTAGCTCGTCCCCTCGGTGAGCCAGCATTTCGGGGGGGCAGGGAGCTGGCAGCTCCCGCTCCCCGCTCCCTTCCAGCCAAGCTGCCTTAACTCGCCCCTCCGGGCTTCCTCACAGTCTGGGCCCCAGGCGGGCCGCATGGCGCCGGCCGCGCGCTGTGCAGAGTTCCCTGTCTCTGGGCCCGGGACGTGCCGCCTCCTACTGTGTAGGAGCCTCCGCCCCCCAATACAGCTGTGTCCGGAACCGCTGCCTGCCTTGAGTCGCGGCGGAGGCGGGGAGGGCGGGAACCGTCGGTCTGGCTCTGGGCGCCGTTGTCCCCGAAGCTCTGTTCTCCCTGGTCTTGCGCGCTCTCTCGAGTAATTGGAGTGGCCGCGGTCCCATCGGGGTTAATCAGGAAAGGTTTCCTGAAGGAGGCAAGTGGAGAAATGGTGTCAGGGTTAGCCGGGGCCCAGGAGACCCACGGGAGAGTTTAGGGGGTTGCGGATGGCACTCAGAGCTCTTCTCTGGATTGCGGTAACGGGGACTTTTTAATTAATTAATTAATTTATTTTTGAGACAGAGTCTCAAGCTGTCACCCTGGGTAGAGGGGTCACAGCTTACAGCAAGCTCACACTCTTGTGTTTAAGCAATTCTCCTGCCTCAGCCTCCCAAGTAGCGGGGATTACAGGCCCCCGCCACAACGGCAATTTTTTTTTTTTTTTTGGTTGTAGTTCTCGCTGTTGTTGGGCAGGCCCAGGCTGGATTCGAACCCGGCAGCTCCCGTGTACTGGCTAGCCTTAGCCGCTGAGCTACAGGCGCTGAGCCATTGAGGGGGACTTTTTAAAATGTCCTATTCCGTGGGATGAGGGATGGGAAGGGAATTTATTTTATTTGTTTATTTATGTGACACAGAATCTCACTTCGTCGCCCTCGGTAGAGTGCTGTGGCATCACAGCTCACAGCAACCTCAAACTCTTGGTCTCAAGCGATTCTCTTGCCTCAGCCTCCCACGTAGCTGGGACTCCAGGCAGGCACCTGCCACAACGCCCGGCTGTATTTAGAGACGGAGTCTCGCTTTTGCTCAGGCTGGTCTGGGAACTGTGAGCTCGGGCAATCCACTCACCTTGGCCTCCCGGATTGCTAGGATTACAGGTGTGAGCCACAGCGCCCGGCCTGGCAGGGAATTATTTTGAGAAATAAAATGAAACTGCAGCGTAAGTGATGGAAACTTCACATCAGGAAATCTTGTCCTAAGAAGGATTGGCTGGAAGATTTTGAGTCGCTTGAGAGGTGGGCTGCTAAAAAACCTGAGAAGGAGCCGGGCGCGGTGGCTCACGCCTGTGATCCCAGCACTGTGGGAGGCTGAGGAGGGAGAATCGCTGGAGCTCAGGAGTTCGAGACTCGCCTGAGCGAAAGTGAGACCCCGACTCATGAAAAAAATGGAAAAACCCAGCCGGGCGTCGCGGCGAGCGCCTGTAATCCCAGCGGCTTCCGGAGGCTGAGGCAGCGGGATGCCCACAAGCCAGGAGTCGGAGGTTGCAGTGAACTACCAAGCTGCTGCACTCTGCTCAGGGGCACAGGGTGGGACTCTTGTCTCCACAAAAAAAAAAAAAAAAAAAAAAAACCTGTGAAGGATTCAGCCCTACTGGGCAAGGATTGGCCCCCAGAAGTTCCCGAGGGAGCAGTCTGGTTCAGGGAGCGGGGGGCGGGGGGGGGGCTACGATTCCTAGCGCGCATGCGCACTCTCCCGAGCTGCGCCTTCCAGCCTCAGCCCAGTCTGGATCTGGGATCTGCTAGGCAAAACGAACGGCTTGTACTCCCAGACTTTAGCTGGGGCTAGCTGCAGATGCCAGCCCGTTGTCCGTTACCCCGGGAGTCAATGGGAGAGGCAGACGGGTCCACCTGCTCCGCCTACCACCGTTGCGCTATGGACGCTTCAGGGCTAGCGCTGGCGGTGAGCTCACGTGAGGGTTTTCGCCAGCACTTGGTCTGGGTACCGCCCAGGCTGACTACTCAGACAAACGTTCTCCCTCGGGCGCCGCCTGGGGCTCATACTGAGCCTGCAGCCAAGGAAGCAGCACAAATCCCTCTCCCAGTTAGCTGCCTGAGTAACCTCTGCGGGAGACTGAGAAAGAATGCTGAAAACACTGAATTTATTCCTAGCTCTGCCCTTTATTCCTTGTGATCGTGACAAATCCAAACTTTGCTCTAGGGCTCGGCGCCCACAGCACAGTGTTTAGAGCGCCGGCCGCGTACACTGGGGCTGGCGGTTTCGAACCCGGCAGGGCCGGCTAAACAGCAATGACGACAACAACAAAAATAGACGCGCTGTGGAGGGAGGCTGAGGCAAGAGAATCGCTTAGGCCCAAGAGTTTGACGTTGCTGTGAGCTGGGAGGCCACGGCACTCTGCCGAGGGCGACATAGTGACATTCTGTCTCAAAAGAAAAAACAAAACAAAACTGCTCTAAGCCTCCGTTTCCTCATCCAAAAAAAATGGGTTTGAGAGGCTAAAAGCATGTACTTTGTAAGATAGAGATTCTTCCAAACTCAACACTTAGGCTATTCCTAACTTTGCCATCTGCTTTTACTCTGCAACCAGTTTCTTTTTGTACCCTTACACCTTTCCTTTGTAGGTTTTATAAATGCCCCCGAAAATACCTTATATAGTTAAACTGGTCTGGCCAAATTTGGTTGTCCTCTAAAGTCTAACCTGTTTCAGCTTGGAGCTTGTTTCACTCACTGGGTTGGAGAGGTCACTCTGTCCCTCATTGGGGTGCCTTATGGAAATCAAGACGCTTTGGGGATAGTGCTAGTTTCCTAGGAAAGAAGAGCAAGGAAGGAGTGTAGACTATTTCCAGTCACTTGACTTCATTATTTTCTTTAAAATAAAATGTTTGGGGGACAAACCAAGGATTTCAAGGACAAACCAGAAAAATTTCGGGGCTGCATACTTTTATTTATTTATTTATTTATTTATTTTTTGAGACAGAGCCTCAAGCTATTCTCCTAGGTAGGGTGCTATGGCATCACAGCTCACAGCAACCTCCAACTCCTGGGCTCAAGCGAGTCCCCTGCCTCCGCCTCCCAAGTAGCTGGGCCCACAGGCGCCCGCCACAATGCCCAGTTATTTTTTGGTTGCAGCCGTCATTGTTGTTTGGCGGGCCCAGGCTGGATTTGAACTTGCCACGTTAGGTGTAGTGGCTGGTGTCTTAGCCACTTGAGCCACAGGTGCCGTGCATATTTACTTATTTACTTATTTTTGAGACAGAATCTCAAGCTGTTGCCCTGGGTAGAGTGCCATGGTGTCACAGCAACCTCAAACTCCTGGGCTTAGGCAATTCTCTTGCCTCAGCCTCTCCAGTAGCAGAGACCACAGGTGCCTGCCACAATGCCCAGCTATTTTTCTTTTTTGTTGTTGCAGTTGTCATTGTTGCTTTAGCTGCCCCGGGTCAGATTAGAACCCACCAGCTTTGGTGTATGTGGCTGGCGCCCTACTCACTGAGCTACAGGAGCTACCCTATTTTAAAATTATTTTTCAGACAGTCTCACTTTGTCACCCTCAGTAGAGTTGGATAGCATCATAGCTGACAGCTACCTCAAACTCTTGGGTTCAAGCAATTCTCTTGCCTCAGCCTCCCGAGTAGCTGAGACAACAGGCGCCATTGACAATGCTCAGCTATTTTTTAGAGACGGAGGTCTTGCTCTGACTCAGGTGAGTCTGAAACCTGTGAGGTCAGCCAATCCACTCTCCGCAGTCTCCTAGAGTCCTAGGGTTACAGGTGTGAGCCACTGTGTTGGCCCTACCCCGACTATTTTTAGAGACAGGTCTTTCTTTTTTTTTTTTTATTGAATGGTAACTGTGTACATTGATGCACTTTGGGGGTACAGTGTGGTGTTTTCATACACAATCCAAGACACTTCCATCAAACTGGTTAACATAGCCTTCATGTAACTTTCTTAGTTATTATGTCAAAACATTCATATTCTACTCATAGAAAG